TCCATTTCTTTGAGAGGACAATCCTGTGTGCTTAACATTCCTGGTTTTTCTGGAGATCTGTGGGTGCAAGGACTTTCCTACAGGCTCCCAAAACACATAGGAGAAAGATGTCCATTCATCTGTTGATGGGCATCTAGGACAATTCTCTGTCTTAACCATTGATGCCCAAATAAACATGAGAATACAGGTATGTGATTTTGTTTTCTTCAGGCACTGCTGAGTAGTGGATTGGATTATGTAGTGCATCTGTTTCCAGTGTTTGCGGGGATAGCCACTCTGTTCTCAGTGGCTATACTGATTTACACTCCCATCAGCAGAGACAACATTTTTCTTTGTTCCATACCTCACCAGTATTTGTTATTGGGTCATTTTTGTCATTTTTTAAAGACCAGATCTTGTATCTGTTCTCAAACTCACCGTGTAGCTAAGAATGACCTTGAACTTCTGACCCTCTAGCTCCTATCTCTAGGGGACTAGGCTTACAGATAAACACACTATGTCTGGTTTGTGCAGCCGGAGATAGAACCTAAGGCCCCAGAATACTAGCAAACACTCTAATAATGAAGCTACATCCCCAGACCCTATGTTTTTTGTCTTTTTAAAAATTGTGTGTACTATTTTGTGTTTGTTTGTGTGTATGAGTAATTCAGAGGACAGCTTTTGGGAGTGGGTTCCCTCCTCCTACCATGTAGATCCCAAGGATTGAACCCAGCTCATCAAGCTTAGCATCAAACTCTTCTAGCCCCTTCTAGCCCCTGAACTCTCTTCCTGGCCCTCTTTTTTTCTTTGTATTAATAGCTTTTCTAATTGGGGTGAGGTGATCTCTCATTGAAGTTTTGATTTGCATGTCTCTGATGCTAATGGCATTAAATAGTTTTCTTTTGAGAAGTGTCTGCATAAATTGCCCCCCCACACACACACACACATACACACACACTCCTTGAGACATGGTTTCTCTGTGTAGCTCTGGCTGTCTTGGCACTCACTCTGCAGGCTGGCCTGGAACTCAGAGATCATCCTGCCTCTGCCTCAAGAGTGCTAGGATTAAAGATATGGATCACCACCGCCCAGCTAAACTGCCCATTTTTAAACTGGATTCTTATTAACTTGTTTGAATTCCTACTACATTCTGGATTGTAATCCTTTGTCAGAAGAAATGCTTTATACTATAAACACTCCATTTGGAGGCTTTTTCACTCTGTTGAGGTGCTGTGCCAGAGAATGTGACTTTGGAGTAAACTCATTTGTCTAACTGGGCCTTTGCTGTCCATGTTTGTGGCATCTTCCCACTCCGACCAGGAAAGGGACTTCTTGAATGAATTTAATAGGGTCTTGTGGTAAAAATAAGTAGAGACCCAGAGCAGGAGCCCAGAGCAAGCAGAGAGAAACAAGGGAATCAGATAGACATGGACTCTTGGCTGCAAAATCTATCTGAAGAGTCTGGTGAAGGCTGAATTGTGGAGGACTTTGCCTGCCAGCCCTGGCATTTCCAGGCATCTCTCTTCACCCCCTGTGGACTCTACACACAGAACCTGGGCCACTCTGCAGGATGGCAGCAGCTGGCTGGCCTGGCCATTCTGACCTCCCTGGTGCCCTGCCATCCTGAGCAGGCATAGAAGCCCTAAGCAGCCTCCTTCTATCCTGGGAAAAGCAGATGCAGATGCAAAGCTAGGCACAGGAGCCTGGGAGTCCCCTTCACCCCTCTGTCTTCATAGGCTGGTAGACATGGAAAAGGCAGCCTGTCACAGCAAGCCTCTCATTAAAGGTGGAGTGGCTAACAGGCTGCTCTGTGCATACTAATTACTTGTCTCCCAAGAAGCCAGCAGAGGGTTGACGGGCAAAGCCAGGGCAGGCTGAGGAGCAGTCTGAACCCACCACAGCCAGCCTCCTGCTGCCATGTTTATTTCCCTCTTCCAGAAACTCCCTCCCAGGCTCCCTTCTGTCTCCCTCTCTATTTTCAAGCAACCTCTGAGTGGTGGTTACATGTAAGCCGCTCTTAGGGAAACAGGACTCAGAAAACATGGAAGAGAAGAGAGTTGCTTCAATAAAGTTAGTTCAATCTTAACTTTTCTTCTTTATAGACACAATCTAACCACATCGCTAGGAATTTGATTTTATATATATATAAAGAATGATGTGTATTCTTGTGCCCAGCAGACTAATATTGCTACTTCCATCATTTTAATATTTGTCTTTCTGTTTTCCACCATCATTATACATTAGTAAGATGCACTTTTAAGAGGTTGTAATTATTCTGACCATTCCTCTGGATTTTTGCCTTGTTTCCACTCACATTATGCATATTGGAATAGCTCTCGCCCTGGGCGGTCTCCCACAATGCCTCTGTTCATCCAATGAGGTAGCTTTGTTAACTAACTTCACAGGTGTCACTCAAGAAGTTACCAAGAGAAACTAAATAAGAGCTTAAAGAAACTGGAGAGCACACCTTGGCTCAAAACAAAAAGAAAGTCATCAACACGCTGGCCAGAATATCTATCCCTTCTTTGAGGAAGACAGGATTTCCAGGAGCTCTCAAGAGCTTCCTGTACCATGTCTCTGTCCGGAACTGGGCCATGCAGTCACTTCAAAAGGCAAGGGATTCTGGGAAAAGAGTTCAGTTAACAAAGAAATCTAAATGAATTGGGAGTCTGTTAATGAGCGGCAGCCAGAGGAAGAAGTATTTCACAATTTTCCGGAGATCCCCGCACCCTGGGCAAGGCGCAGAAAGAAAGGCAATATTGTTGACCCCTACTAGAAAGAAGTCTAGAACACTTTAAGCACCTCAGCTCCTTACCCTTTCCACTGAGGACACTGAACAAAATTAGTTGGGAAGTAATTAATTTGCCTAAGGACACGTGCTCAGCAGGAGCCGCCGGCAAAGCTGCTTTGCAGTCCCCTTCATTCAGTGTGTTCTCATTCCCACTCAGAGCTAGGAGAACCGAAACGTGTTCCCACGTGCAAGGCAGGCAGGCAGGAGATCAGGAAGGAGGACTGAGAGGAAGCAAACTCTCACCTTGCCAGAACTAGGCTTAGGAAGGCACATCTCACATGATTTTATTTACAGTACCTGAAAGCCTGCTTGGTGGAAGCAAAAAGCAAAGTTGTCCTTTGACTAACACACACACACACACACATACACACACACACACACACACACACACACACGCCTTCCTGAAAGAGCCTGGTAGCATAGGCCTGAAATCCTGCTTTACTCGGGAGCCTGAAGCAGGAAGATCCCAAGTTCAAAGCCTTCCTGGGCAACTTAATGAAATCCCAAGACAGAAAGGAGCGATAAGGGGAAGCTAGGGATATGTGCTGGTAATGGAGCACTTGCCTAGCATGTGGGAAGCACTAGGTTCAATCTACAGTATGGACCGTGGGCAGCCCTAAAAGACAGGAAGTGTGTTCATCTTGTTGATGCAATTATTTAAGCTAGGTGACTGAGATGTGGTGTAGCAGGGAGTAGAACTGTGTATTCACTTAGTTACTAATTTCCGAAGAATGCCTTTCTGGGACCTGTGAAATCTAAATCTCTTAGGCCATGTGATTCTAAACATCATCAACTTTCTAACAAGTTGTTAGTGCCACTTTGGGGAGGTCCACAAAGGCTCCGGAGACTTGTCTGTGGTCATAAAGTCCTGAGGCAGAATGAACTTTGAATGCTGATACCCTGACCATAATTCCAGGTGCAGACTGCCACAGGCAGTCTTAAGCTTCAGTCTGATTCTGCAGGGTGTTCTGTCTCTGGCATCCATTGTTCAGGCTCAGCATGTTGGTAAGACTGAAGAGAAAGCCTTCTCAGAGGCACACAGGGTCTTGCTGCCTGTGCAACTCAGGAGACATCGAGCCTCTGATTTAACCAGCCCCATTACTCTCCAAACGTTGGTCCTTTTGATATGTGAGCTATCACACTTTCTTTCTCCTTGTGTTAGCCATGGAGTCAGGTTTTACTGAATCCTAACAAGCATGAACATGCTGGACTCTAGTCTCATAGCTCTTACTCTCCAGGACATTGGATGAAGCACCTGCTTCAAACCATCTTTTATTCTTCTGTTTTCTAGGTGGTGCATGGAGCTAAGTCCTGCTCCATTGATGAGATCAAATGTTCTTGGGGAGCAGGAGGCTTTGTGCTGATGAGAAATTTGAAGCTCTGAGTTCTGTCTGACTCCACAGGCAGCTGGTTGTGCTTTCCATGATCTGTTGTGGTTTAAATATAACCAAAGTTCCCATGGGCGAAATTTATTCTCTGTGTAGCCTATCCTGGAACTCACTCTGTAGACCAGGCTGGCCTAGAACTCACAAAAGCCAACTTGCCTTTGCCTCCAGAGTGCTGGGATTAAAGGCATGTGCCCCTACCACGTGGCTATTCAGGGTTTCCACGTCATTTGAACTATGCCCACCACTTACAGGATTACAACGAAATAAAGACTGTCCATATAATATAAATCCCTGGTCAAGCAGTAGATATCTGTTTGTTCCCCATGTGCCTTGCCCAGAGGAGCTGGTTTGGGAGGGAAAAAAATCAGAAAATTCTCCCTAGAGGAAATGAAATACTACAGCATCAAATATTTTTAAAATGCAGGTTCCCTGTGAACATGGATAGGCTCTGTCTGTCTGTCTTCACATGAAAAACATTGAGTGCTGAGACCCCCTTGCACACTGTTTCCATTGCATGTGGGCTGTTTTGAAGGGACTGACATGATTTCCCCAGCTGAAGTAATTCTTCTGATGCTTTGTTCTTTCCCAAAGCTCTATACCAAGATGGTGTCTGGCATCTGTCATTTTTCCTTCCCCTCTGACTGCTTATCTTCAGGGACCTTTCAGGGTTTTGCCTTCTGGGCTCTTGGGTTGTGTTTATTAGGCAAGACATCTATCATTGCTGCCCTCTGGCACCTTCTGGGAGTCTCTGGATTGCTGATGAGGATTGGGCTAACCATCCTACATCAATAGGAGATTCAGGGCTCAGCCGCTGTGCTACTTCCCGATTGGTGTCCCCACAGAGAGAGCAGGACAGAGCCTGGCAACCTTACCTCTACTTCCGAAGCAAGCCAGAGAGCCAGAGTCAACGGCAGATCCAGCCTGGGTATTCGGCCAAGAGATACCTCCGAGGCCTCTTACAGACATGGCCCCTTGATACAAAGTACAGACTCCAGTGTGCAGGTCAGTGGCAAAGTGGGAGGGAGTGAACTCCAGTCCCCCTTTGGTGTAAAGGTGTGTTTTCCATTGATTCCGGAAACATCAGAATTTAAAGTCCAATTCCGCGCTACGGCACAGTCTCCAGGCTCTGTGGTCCAGGCTCTAGCCCAGCTGTTGTCTTTCGTCTTCGCTGACATCTGCATCACCAGAGTACTTGGCCCTCCCTGCTCACACACTCTTCAATCTCAGCTCGTCACAATCCGTAGCCCGATCCAGAACCTGTTCCCCACCTACCCCTCAGAGATCTTCTAACTTAAACCCCACTGTTCCCAAGATAAGACAAAAAGGGGGTCTAAGTATTTATTCGTCCAAGGTCAGCTAGCCAGAAGCAGAGCAGGACGCGGAAGGCAGATACTTCCTGTACCCACAGCTCCACATTCTTCCCAGCATTCCCCAGTTCCCTGTCTGAGGTCATCTCAGGTCCTCTGGCACAATCCCCTCAGGAGAGAGACGGTCACTCCCTCCGCCTGACAGAAACCCCAAATGCACCCTGTGGACTTATGAAAGCCTGAAGTGGGAATTGGAATTGCCAGATTCGGCACACTACACCCACACAAACAGTGAAACTCACAATATTTGGGACATATTTCTAGTAAAAAAGTATTCGTTGTTTATCTGAAACTTAAACTTAATTGGACATCCTGTATTTTATTTGGCAAACCACTGGGGATGAGAGATGGATGGTAAGATGTGCCAGACCTCATTCTGTTGCTTGCCGTACCTTCAGTATCAACATGCAGGACCAGAAAATTCTGGCTTGCTTTCTGTTTTATAGGTTTACCTGGGGAAGGAGAAAAAACAGTTCCCTGCCCCAGTAAGTGGTGGCTTGAAACCAAATGAGAGATGTGGGCTTGTCTGGCAGTTGATTTTACTTTCAAGGTAGTGCCATGGTTACTGGCTGTTCTATTTACTTACCACTTGTGAGAAAGAGCTTCTTAACCAAAAAGTGTTGTTACTGGATGGTGCCAAACACAGCCTGGGCCCAGTGTTCTCAAGGAAGGTAACAGCTTTTCTTTTGGTTTTTCAAGACAGGGTTTCTCTGTATTGTTTTGGAGCCTGTACTGGCACTCACTCTGTAGACCAGGCTGGCCTCGAACTCACAGAGATCTGCCTGCCTCTGCCTCCCGAGTGCTGGGATCAAAGGCTTGCACTACCAACACCCTGCAGGTAACAGCTTTTAAACAACAGCAAAAAGAGCTCAGATCCACCCATGGCATCATCTAGCTAGCACGTGTGGTCTAAGAAAAAGTGCAGGGACCACAGCTCCTTGCTAAAGTCTCTATTTAAGTAGACCCTCAGGCTGGAAGAGAGGCCAGTGAGAAGCCAGATCCCAACACCTCCATCATAGTTCTCTCCCCTCACTCACCTTGTGATGTTATCGAGTTCTCAATCGACTCCAGCCTGCCCCTGTGATGAATCGACTCCACCCTTCCAGCCTGTTTCCTTTCTTTTTCATCCTTTCTAAAAGCTTTTTGCTTGTGTGTTTGTTTTATTTGTTTGTTTTGCGACAATGTCTTACCATATATCCCTGGCTGGCCTGGGAAATTGATGTTTGGCATCAAACTCACAGACAGCCTCCTGCTTCAGTCTGAGTATCAGAATTAAAGGCATGAGCCACCATGCCCAGCTTTAAAAGTTGTTTCAGCTAATGTCTGCATTAGTACACAAAGTAATGTGTTTCGTCAGGGCACCTTCGTACACACATCACTAGAGTGCTGCTCCTTAACCATCTTCCTTCACAGTTGGTCCCTCTTCTGCCTGACTACGTCATTGCCTTCCTTCTCTGTCTCCCACCTCCCTCGAGACTTTTTCCTGCCCTCTCATGATGCCCGTTCTAGCTTCATACCTACATGCACATGTGTGTGCACACATTTATGTAAACAAACAGATCCAAAGATTTAAATCTGGACTGCATATGCAAGCTGGAATCTTCTACACAGGCTTTTCTAACAATTCCTGCCAATGCTGAGCTTCTGGTCTCACATCACACTGATCCTTAGAGCTAGAGTTGAGGACAGAGAGAGCCATCTCTCCAACCGGCTACGAGAAATCTATGCCGGGTTCTCTGTGTTTACCCTGCGGCCTAAGGGTGGGTGGGCGATCCGCAAAACTTCAAGAAATACTACAGAATGACGGGATTAGGTTCAGAAGGCTGATGGTCGTGGCATGATGACAGAAGAAAACAAGGCATGCCCACTATGATTAGATCCCTCTTCCTAAAGCAGAGCAAGCCTCCTAGTCAACACCCAGGAGGCAGCAGTGCTTTTGTTTGTTTCCCAACAAGGGCCTGGTTCTTGGGAACGGTAAAGTGGGACAAAGTGCTCGTGTGGTTCAGAACCAGAGCGTCCGAGACACTTGACAGGGAGGCTTCCATGCATTCCGCCTGAGTTTTCTAACCCTGCTCATCCTCCGATGTCCTCCTTAATGTCTGTTCAAAGCCGACACCACTGCAAGTGGGGAAGGTGTAGTTTTCCGCAGGACTCTAGGTTGGTTTTCATACTTTGCATCAGTGACTCCTGCCTTGCCCCTCAGGACACATCAAGGACTCTGTGCTGCTCCAGGACAGTCAGTTTGGCGTCCCCAAGCATCTCAGGCCCCGGCAGGACCTTTCAGGTGTTCCCCCCAAATACCATCTGCTGCCTGTCTTCCCTTCATTTTGGATGCAACAGAGACCGTCTTATGAACAAGGTACCTGTTCACTGTTGTTTTCATTATTTTTTGTGTAGTGTAGTGGGATGTGCACATGTACATGCATGTTTGATTTTACATGGGCACATGTGTGTGAGTGCATTTTTTCGTGACAATAATTTATAAATATGTAAACTTGGGAGCCATGAATCCATTTTGCTTTGTTCTCCCTTAATGTATGAGACGGAAACTCTTGAGCAAGTCAGTTAACCCCTCTGAGTTTCCATTTGCTCATCTGTGTAATGAGCACGCTAACACTACTCAGTACTACGCAGAAAATTATGATCCATCTTCAGCTAGATTTTTCTTGAGAAAAATCTAGGTGCCTGTCATCATATAAGGGTATTGTCTGAAATCCAAAAGTTTCCAGAAACAATGGCAATGTCAGAACAAGCTCTCTCTTGGGAAAGGGATCTTTTCGGGGTAGTAGAGGAAGTGTGGCATGTGGCCAGTCCTCAGAGGCTGCTGCTATCAAGCACTCCCACTATGCAGCTCACTTCACCCTAGACTCTGGTCAGAACCTGGTCCACAGGTTCTGTCTTGTCTCCACAAAACAAATTGGTCTGGCGATTGTCTTTCTCTTTATCCGTTTATACTTTTGTTTATAGTGTAAGTCTCTATGTGCTTTGTTAACATGGGTTGGAATTCCTTAAACCACTAGACTTTAGAACATTGAAGAAATCATGCTTCTGGACAATCCATGTCCTAGGTAATGCCCCCACGTGGGGACTCCTGCTCTTCTGTCCTTCCCTGGGAGGACAGCTATTGCATTTGTGCTTTATGCCATCTCTCTCACAGGCCCCCTGTCTCCAGTTTTATTGGGCTGTGATTTGCAGTACTTTCCCTGGGGAGGGGTATCAAGACTTCACAATTGTGGGGTCAATGACTTCACTGACACCATTTACCAAGGAGCTGTCATCATTAGGCAGAAAACAGAGAGATGGTGGTGATAGCACAGGATTCTAAGCCATATGACCTCTCTGGGAAGCAGTTTCCTCATTTACAAAACTGAGTGACCACACCATGTATACTTCATAGGACCATATGTGGGAGTTCAAGAGGATAGTGCAGTCCTTGGCACATAGTAAGTGCTCAATAAATGTTAATTACAGACCTCCCTAGATTTTTTTTCCAGTATAATTACTAATCGCAATGCCCAATTGTCTGTGATCACAGGGGCGGGCAAAAAGCATATATATATATATATATATATATATATATATATATATATAAATTTTAAAGAATTATATGGCATTTAGAGGCTGAAACTTGGACCCCACTGTTAACTTCATTAGTTTTAGCTTCCCTCTGTCTTTTTTTTTTTTTCTGAAGAAGTAGAAAAAGCCCTGGTTATAAGGCTCAGATCCCCAACAATGAGCCAAACTATGCTCCCTACTTCCTTAGTTTGTTCATCTGTATAAAGGGAGCAGTGGGGTCTGCACTCCTTTCCCTGTGGGCTTTTGTGAAAGATTACAGGAGGGCTGGGAAGATGACTCAGTAAGAACCACTTGCTGGTCAACAAAAGAACCTGAATTCAAATCCCCAGCACCCATCTAAAGGCTAAGTTTGGCCATGAGCACCTGAAACTCCAGCAGTTAGGGAAGGATGTCAACAAAAGCCTAGTGCTTGCTAACCAGTTAGCTGAGATGGTGAACTTTGCGGTCAGTGATGGACCTGTTCAAAAACCAAGATGAAGAGTGATAGAGGGCCAGGCATTACAGTGCACACCTTTAATCTCAGTGCTGAGTTCAAGGCCAGCTTGGTCTACATAGTAAGCTCCAGGGCATCCAGGGCTGTGTAGAGATATTCTGTCTGGAAAGAAAGGAAGGAAGGAAGGAAGGAAGGAAGGAAGGAAGGAAGGAAGGAAGGAAGGAAGGAAAAGAAAAGGAAAGATAGAGGGAGGGAGGGAGACAGGAAAAGAGGAGTAAAAGAAGACGCTTGGTATCCAGACAGACAGAGAGAGAGAGAGAGAGAGAGAGAGAGAGAGAGAGAGAGAGAGAGAATGTGTGTGTAATCAAGAAAAATCAAGAAAAATCATGGGGGGTGAGGTGATGGGGTAAAAGCTCTCTGACAATTCTAACTTGCTAGCCTGAAGCATGTGATTGGGATAGTCCGAGTCCATGTTTGATACACAAAGGGACGTACATGGCTTTGGTCTCCTTTCAACAGTTAAGATGTCAGGTGCTTTTCTTGCAAGTCTGGTTCTGTCAAGCATCAACTACTGAGCCAGGTGATGCCATATTGAGAATTGTTGCTCTCACAGAGGATGAGTCACATATTCAACCTCACTGTGACACAGCCCAAGAGAAGCGACCTGTGTCTACCCTTGACCCACCTTACGCACTCGGATGTACACAGCTGTTGAGTGAGTACCCCTTTGGCTGGGGTTTTGCTTCCTCTGTCCTCAGAAGTATATCTGACTCTACATGAATCTGATCAGGAAGAATGGATCTACAGTCTGGCTTGCATCAAAAGATCATTCCACAATTCCTCAAACGGTCTTTAGCACTATATACTAGGTATGGAATTGCAAACAAACCAACATGGGCCTGGACTATCCATTA